AAACACAGTTCTGTTTTTTTTTTTTTTTTTTTGCGATATGTGGGCCTCTCACTGTCGTGGCCTTTCCCGTTGCCGGACGCGCAAGTTCAGCGGCCATAGCTCACGGGCCCAGCCGCTCCGCGGCATGTGGGATCCTCCCGGACCAGGGCACGAACCCGTATCCCCTGCATCGGCAGGCGGACTCTCAACCACCGCGCCACCAGGGAGGCCCTGTTGTTTCTTTTTTATCTTTCTTTTATTTAGTTCTGTTAAAAAAAAAAAAAAGAAAAAGAAAAAACCCAATCTAAAATCGAGCTGACGAGCTCTCACTTCATCCTGCAGGCCATAGGACAGCAGGGAAAGATTTGGGGTTTTTTGCTCCCTGTGCTAATTCTGAAAAATATGGATCTGTCTTGCCTCTTATTTCTGATTACAGCATGACGCAGTTTTACAAAGTTCGCCGATTATGAGATGCAAAACGTACAGGGTCTCCGGGAACCCCACTTGCCAGGGGGAACCACTGCGTACAATCTGATATATGTCCTCCTACTCGGTTCCATAGACTCTCATCTTTGAATATTGTAATTTAACTTCCAAAGCTTGGCTTGTGTTCCATGGGCTTTACTGCAGCTTTATTTTGTCCTGTAAGAGTCCATCTCGTCCATCTTTCCGTGTCAGTAGATGGACCAGTTGTGTAGCATTGTGTTGGGCGGGTCGGCTCTGGTTAATCTGGTCCTCCCAGCGATGGACATTTGGGTTGTGTCTGACTTTTCCAGAATCACAGACACCGCTATTATACTCAGTCTGTTTATAATCAGTCCTCTTTAGGTACCGGTGGGATTTTCTGTGGGGCAAAGCCCAGGTGTGGCAAGGCCGCGTCTTGAGCACAGACATTTCGAAGGCTGGCAGATCTTGCCAGTTTACCCTCCAAAATGCCTTAACAACTTGAGCCCCTGCCAGCAGTATAAGGCTGTGTCTCCTTACATCTTGGCCAATATTGGATATCAGTACAGGCATACCTCGTTTCATTGTGTGTGTTTTGGCTTTATTGTGCTTTGCAGTTTTTTACAAATTGAAGTTTTGTGGCAACCCTGTGTCGAGTAGGTCTGTTGGTGCCATTTTTCCAATAGCATTGGCTCACTTCATGTCTCTGTCACATTCTGGTAATTCTCGCCATTTTTCAAACTTTTTAATCACTATTGTATTTGTTATGGTGATCAGTGATCTTTGATGTTACTGTTGTAATTTTTTTATTATTAATTTTTATTGCAGTATGGTTGCTTTACAATGTTATGTTAGCCTCCACTGCACAACAAAGTGAATCAGCCATACACAGACAGATATCCCCTCCCTTTTGGACTTCCCTCCCATTTAGGTCACGACAGTGCCTTAGGTAGAGTTCCCTGTGCTATGCAGTATGTTCCCATCAGTTGTCTATTTTATACATAGTATCAATAATGTATATATGTCAATCCCAGTCTCCCAATTCCTCCCACCCCACCCCTTTGCCCCTTGGTATCCGTACATTTGTTCTCTACATCTGTGTCTCTATTTCTGCTTTGCAAATAAGATCATCTATACCATTTTTCTAGATTCCACATATTTGCATTATTATATGATATTTGCTTTTCTCTTTCGGACTTACTTCACTCTGTATGACACTCTCTAGGTCCATCCACGTCCATTGTAATTGTTTTGGGGTGCCACAGACCGCACCCATACAAGACAGCGAACTTAATCAATAAATGTTGGGTGTGTTCTGACTGCTCCACCGGCTTTCCCCTGTCTCTCTCCCTCTCCTTGGCCTCCTATTCCCTGAGACACCACAGTATTGAAATTAGGCCAATTCATAACCCTACAATGACCTCTAAGTTTTCAAATAAAAGGAAGAGACTCATGTCTCTCACTTTAAATCAAAAGCTAGAAATGGTTAAGCTTAGTGAGGAGGGCCTGTTGAAAGCTGAGACAGGCCAAAAGCTAGGCCTCTTGTGCCAAACAGTTAGCCAAGCTGTGAACGCAGAGGAAAAGTTTTGAAGGTGATTAAGTGAACACATGACAGTGAACATGAATGATAAGAAGGCAAAACAGCCTTATCGCTGATACAGAGAAAGTTCGAGTGGTCTGGATAGAAGATCAAACCAGCCACAACATTCCCTTAAACCAAAGCCTAATCCAGAGCAAGGCCCTAACTCTCTTCAATTCTGTGAAGGCTGAGAGAGACGAGGAAACTGCAGAAAGAAAGTTTGAAGCTGACAGGGGTTGGCTCATGAGGTTTAAGGAGAGAAGCCATCTCATAACATAAAAGTACAAGGTGAAACAGTTAAGTGTGGATGAATTAATCAAGGTACTACACTAAACAACAGATCTTCAATGTAGACGAAATAGCCTTCTATTGGAAGAAGGTGTCATCTAGGACTTTCATTGCTCGAGTGGAGAAGTCAATGCCTGGCTTCAAAAGACAGCCTGGGGCTTCCCTGGTGGCGCGGTGGTTGAGAGCCCGCCTGCCAATGCAGGGGACACGGGTTCGTGCCCCGGTACGGGAAGATCCCACATGCCGCGGAGCGGCTGGGCCCGTGAGCCATGGCCGCTGAGCCTGCGCGTCCGGAGCCTGTGCTCCGCAACGGGAGAGGCTACAACAGTGAGCAGCCCGCGTATTAAAAAAAAAAAGAATTATGCTAAATCTACCCTGACTGTGCTCTGTAAATGGAACAGCAAAGCCTGGATGACAGCACATCTGTTTACAACATGGTTTACTGTTGAGACCCACTGCTCAGGAAAAAAGATTCCTTTTAAAATATTACTGCTCATTGACAATGCACCTGGTCACCCAAGGTGGATGGAGATGTACAACAAGATTCATGTTTTCATGCCTGCTAACACAACATCCGTTCTGTAGCCCATGGATCAAAGAATCATTTTTGACTTTCAAGTCTTACTCTTTAAGAAATACCTTTCGTAAGGTTACGGCTGCCGTAGATAGTGATTCTTCTGGTGGATCTGGGCAGAGTAAATTGAAAACCTTCTAGAAAGGATCCACCATTTCAGTTGCCATTAAGAACACTTGTGATTAGTGGGAAGCAGGCAAAATATCGACATTAACGAGAGTTTGGAAGAAGCCGATTGCAGCCCTCCTGGATGACTTTGAGGGGTTCAAGACTTCAGTGGAGGAGGTAACAGCATGTGTGGTGGAAATAGCAGGAGAACTAGAATGAGAAGTGGAGCCTGAAGATGTGACTGAAGTGCTGCAACCTCATGATAAAACTTGAATGGATGAGGAATTGCTTCTTATGGATGAGCAGAGAAAGTGGTTTCTCAAGATGGCATCTACTCCTGGTGAAGATGCTGTGAAGATTGTTGAAATGACAACAAAGGATTTAGAATATTACATACACATAGTTGATGAAGCAGCAGCAGGGTTTGAGAGTATTGACTCCAGTTTTGAAAGAAGTTCTGTGGGTAAGATGCCATCAAACAGCATTGCACGCTACAGAGAAATCGTTTGTGAAAGGAAGAGTCAGTAGGTGTGGCAAATTTCATTGTTGTCTTTCTTTTCCTTTTCTAAAAATAATTAATTAATTAATTAATTTTTTTGTTTGCGTTGGGTCTTTGTTGCTGTGCGCGGGCTTTTCTCTAGTTGTGAGCGGGGGCTACGCTTCCTTGCGGTGTGCCGGCTTCTCATTGCGGTGGCTTCTCTTGTCGCGGAGCACGGGCTCTAGGCGTGCGGGCTTCAGTAGTTGTGGCACACGGGCTCAGTAGTTGTGGCTTGCGGGCTCTAGATTGCAGACTCAGTAGTTGTGGCGCACAGGCTTAGTTGCTCCGTGGCATGTGGGATCCTCCCGGAGCAGGGCTCGAACCCGTGTCCCCTGCATTGGCAGGCGGAACCTTAACCACTGCGCCGCCAGGGAAGCCCCACTGTTGTCTTATTTTTAAGAAATTGCTGCAGCCATCCCAGCCTTCAGCAACTACCACCCTGATCAGTCAGCGGCCATCAACATCGAGGCAGGACCTTCCACCAACACAAAGATTATGACTCACCAATGGCTCAGATGATGGTTAGTGTTTTTTAGCAATAAAGCATTTTGGAATTAAGGTATGTACATTGTCTTATTAGACATAATGCTGTTGCACACTTAATACACTACAGTATAGTATAAACATAACGTTTATACACACTGGGAAACCAAAAAAATTCATGCAGCTTGCTTTATTGAGATATTCACTATGTTGGGGTGGTCTGGAACCAGACCTGCAGTATCAACGAGGTCTGCCTGTAATTTTTTTTTTAATATTTATTTATGTATGTATGTATTTATTTGGTTGCTCTGGGTCTTAGTTGCGGCAGGCGGGCTCCTTAGTTGCGGCTCCATGGCTCCTTAGTTGTGTGTGGCATGCGAATTCTTAGTTGCGGCATACGTGTGGGATCTAGTTCCCTGATAGGGGATTGAACCTGGACCCCCTGCATTGGGAGCGTGGAGTCTTAACCACTGCGCCACCAGGGAAGTCCCTGTAATCTTTTTAATCTTTGTTTCATCCATTACTTTATGTTTCTTGGATTATTAACAAGGTTGCATACATTTTCATGTTCATTTGGCCGCTTGTGTTTCTTTTTTTTTTTGATGGGTTTGAGCAAAGCTGTTGAACCCGCCTCTTTCCTCTGAGTCCTTCCTCCTCATGGGCTGGGCGTAATGTGAGGTAATGGTTCTGAAATGTCACCTCTGACACATCACCCAACTGCTTAAAACCCACCCTCGCTCCCACTGCCCTTGCTGTAAAGACCAAGCTATGCTCTGTGGCCTCAGGGCTTCTGGTGCTCACAGACGTCCTCCCTGACCTGGCCTCTGCAGATGCTGGTTGCTCAGCACCTGGATCACTGTTCCTCAACTCTTTTTGTTGTCGTTAATTACCTTGTTGTAAAATACGCACATAAGAGTATCAAAAGGTAGGATGTGGACTTCCCTGGTGGTGCAGTGGTTAAGAATCTGCCTGCCAATGCAGAGGACACGGGTTTGAGCCCTGGCCCAGGAAGATCCCACATGCTGTGGAGCAACTAAGCCCGTGTGCCACAACTACTGAGCCTGTGCTCTAGAGCCTGCGAGCCACAACTACCGAAGCCTGCGTGCCACAACTACCGAAGCCTGCGCGCCTAGAGCCCATGCTCTGTGACAAGAGAAGCCACTGCAATGAAGAGCAGCCCCGCTTGCTGCAACTAGAGAAAGCCCGCGTGCAGCAACGAGGACCCAACGCAGCCAAAAATAAATAAATTTTTTTTAAAAAGTAGGATTTAATGACTGGAAAGATGAACCCCTGTGTACCAGCCCCCAGGGTAGAAGGTGGAACACATACCAGTATGTTGAAGCCCCTGTCCCGCTCCCCGCTTCTCTTCCTTGGTCACCTGCCTTCTGAATCCCAGCTCTTTCCCCAGGAGAACTTCACCTGACTTGTCCCCTGGGTCCCGAGAGCCCTTGGGCTCATCCTGCCCAGTATGGCCCCATCACCCTGCATCCTCATTCCTACGAGGGCCAGAAGCCCTGCTCTCCTGGCACAGGTGTGTGCCCAGCCCAGGGCCTGGCATAGGGCAGCTGCTCCATAAATGTGAATACTGTTGGCTCTCCGTATCCATGGGTTCCACATCCGCAGGTTCTGCATCTGTGGGTCCAACCAACCTCAGACTGAAAATACTAAAAAAAAAAAAAAAAAAAAAAAATTGTAAATCAACTGTATAAAAAAAAAAAAAAAAAAAAAAATCCAGAAAATTCCAAAAAGCAAAACTTGGATTTGCCATGCACCAGCAAATTATTTATTTAGCATTTACATTGTACTAGGTGTTATAAGTAATCTAGAGATGATTTAAGGTGCAGGGGAGGATGTGCTTAGGTTATATGCAAACACTGTGCCCTTTTATATGAGGGATTTGAGCATCTAGAGTTTGGTATCTGCATAGGTCCTGGACCTAATCTTTTGCAGATTCTGAGGGACAACTCATTATCCTCCCAGCAGCTGCCATTTACCGAGCAGCACAGCAAGCCTGGTGCTTCACTCACATTTCGTCACCTCCTGTAGCTCATTTGATCCTGATGTCTCCATCTGCTCGGCTGAAAAGGAAAGTGAGCCTGGGGAGGTAGAGGGGCTTGCCCGGTCACTAAGCAAGGTTAGGGTGGAGCCGGGATTTGAACCCCAGTCAGCCTGGAGCCCAGCCATGCCCTTAGCCTGTCCTTTGTGGCCTCCCCAGGAGGGTGAAAGGACGAACAAGTGAAGAAGGGCAGGTGAGGCTACAGCAGGTGTCAGGGGCTTTAGTGGACGGCCGATTTCTGCGGCTGCTCCCAGAAGGGCCCGGAGACTCGGCATTTTTCTCTCCGGCCTCTGCACCACTATAGGACTTGGCTTGATTTTATTTATTTGTTTATTATTTATTTGTTTGCTTGTTTATTGGCTGCGTTGGGTCTTCATTGCTGCATACGGGCTTCTTGTGGTGGTTTCTCTTGTTGCGGAGCACGGGCTTTAGGTGCGCAGGCTTCAGTAGTTGTGGCGTGTGGGCTCAGTCATTGTGGCTCGAAGGCTCAGTAGTTGTGGCTCAGGGGCTCTAGAGCACAGGCTCAGTAGTTGTGGCACACAGGCTTAGTTGCTCTGTGGCATGTCATGTGGGATCTTCCCGGACCAGGGATTGAACCCCTGCCCCCTGCATTGGCAGGTGGATTCTTAACCGCTGCGCCACCAGGGAAGTCCTTGGCTTGATTTTGATTTAAGAAATCAAGAAGAGGCTCGGCTGGCTATCTAGCAGCTCTTGAGCGCCAGACCCCACTTCCAGCCCTGGACTGAGCGGTAACTGACAGCCCTGTCAGGTGTTTCCAGGCAGCAGAGCTGGGGTGTCCTCTGTCTGGGAAGACGCCAGCCCCTGCACACACCCAGGCTCTGGAATTGTGGAATCAGGCCGCCTCCTTGCTATGCCTGAGGCCAGACGTGAAGCCTCCCCAAGCCTCAGTCCCCTACTGTGTAGAAGGGCATGTCCTGGGGATGTCATGAGCTGATGCCAGCGGCCAGCAAAAGTGTCAGCAAGGGCCAGCCCACATCTTCAGCTTCGTTGTTAACTTTTACATATGAGGAAACTGAAGCTCGGGGAGGTTAAGGCACAGCCCAGGGTCATCCTAGCAAATTCTCTTTAAAACTTAATGAAAATAGTTTAAAAAAAGTTTATAAAACTGGGAGTTCCCTGGCGGCCTAGTGGTTAGGATTCCAGGGTTTCACTGCCATGGCCCGGGTTCAACGCCCGGTCGGGGAACTAAGATCCTGCAAGCCGTGTGGCATGGCAAAAAAAAAAAAAAAAAAGAAAGAAAAGATTATAAAAATGACTCATGCTAATTGTAGAAAAAACTAAGATGATGCAAAAAGAAAGAAAAATTGTACCCAGCGCCACCCTGTTCACATTTTGGTGAACATCCATCCAATGCCCCCTCTGCCTGTGGTTCTTATAAATGGCATCAACCTGCCCCTGCTGCTCTGTGTCAGTTCCGCTCTGCTAGGCTCTTGGGCACATCAATGATCTGAAGCCTCAGGATTCATATCTGTAAAGTGGGCACAATATTGGACCATCACTCATAGGACTGTATGAATTAAATGAGTTGATCCACGTTAGATCAGCCCTGGCACGTACTAGCTTTCCACGTCCGTGAATTACATCTGTGTCTGCAAACTGTGTCGTAAGCCCCAGCTAAGCCTCCCACTCCCAGAGAGTGAAGAATTCCTCCTGTGTGCTGACCATCTCCGTTCCTGGCAGCATTAGTCCTATACACTATTTATTGCCTGATTGTGTTACACGAACGAGCTTATTGACTCCCCCAGAGTAGCCCCAAGTGTGGGGCTGTAGCTTCTCCCGTTTCACCAGTGAGGCCGATGATTGCGGAGATCTGAAACTTTGGCGGCTGGCTCGACCTCACACCCTTGTGCATCCTTCCAAAGTGAGTGCCTTCTGTGGCATGTGCACATCTTTTGGAAGGCGGTCGTTGCTCAGTAACGAGCTGGCGTGAGACATTGCTGGGCACCCCTGGTGTTGCATCCCTCCGGGACGTGCCCTGGGCACCACAGAGGTGTGTGGAGGCGGGCACAGGACACTTCCTGCCTCATTCTCTCTGTGACTGCTACTCAGGGATTGGCCTTGGCCCAGCCTTGGTGTGTCCCTCATGCACAGGCCAGCTTGCCCCTGTGGGTCCAGTCCAGCTGCGTCTTGGGGCCTCTCCCACGGCCAAAACAGGCTCTGCTTCTCCTCGCAGAGCCCCAAAGGCTTCCTGGAGAGCTACGAGGAGATGCTGAGCTACGCCCTGCGGCCGGAGACCTGGGCCACCACGCGGCTGGAGCTGGAGGGCCGAGGGGTGAGTTGTTTGTGCTGAGCCTCGGTGTCCTGGGGTTCCCCGCACCTGAGATCCTTGAACCGGGTGGAGGTGCCTGTAGGAGCTCTGCCTTGATTCCGAGGCTCTGAGATGGCTCCATGGCTGCTAGAAGCCCCCATTCCTGCCCTGCCTGCCCCAGGCCCCTCCTCACACCGCCTGGTGTGCATGCTCAGCCCGGTGCTCCCACCCAGCCCCTACACCCTACACTCTGCCCTCAGAGCACTGCTGCCCCCGCCCACTCTGCCCTCAGAGCACTGCCGCCCCCGCAGGTGGTGTGCATGAGCTTCTTTGACATCGTGCTGGACTTCATCCTCATGGACGCCTTCGAGGACCTGGAAAACCCCCCGTCCTCGGTGCTCGCCGTCCTGAGGAACCGCTGGCTGTCGGACAGCTTCAAGGAGACGGTGCGTGGCCGCCCCGCTCCCAGGCACACACACGCTCACTTGACCCCACGCGTGCGCCCGGGCACCAAGGCTGGCTCCCCACCCATCAGGGAGCAGTCACGCCACTGGGATGCTGCCTGCCGCCGTGATCCAGGGCTGCTGGGCACACCAGTCCCCTGCCCTGGAGAACTTCCCACAGGATCCCCTTGCTCTCCTCTGACCAGCGTAGCACGGAGGGACGTGCACTTCCCTTCTGCACTGTGGTTTCACTTAGGCAGTCTGCTCATTTCTGGGCTGCCATTCATTCTGTTCCATTTGAATGCATTAAATGAGTTAAAATACGGGGGGGGGGGTAATTTGGGGTGGGGGGACACATTCTGTCTATAATACATGTGCAAACCCATCTCTTACCCATCATTGGTGGGAACCACTTGCTACAGCCTGCAAGTCATTGGGGTGTTCTCATCAAAAAAGACAATTCAACCTAACTCTCTCCCAGGGACGGACGCGAGAGGCGGGGGGGGGGGGGGGGGGAGAAAAAAGAGGTACAGCAGGAGAGCATTGAGCACAGGGCCCCTGCAGGGCGGCGGTGCTGTGTGCCATGGGGGTGGTCTTTTATAGGCGGTAACCATGGATCCCCACAATCACTGAGTGAGGTGGGGCTGCTGAGTCATGGCCATTTTACAGAGGAGGAATCTGAGGCCCAGAGAAGACTGGTGGCTAGTCCAGGGAGCCACCCAGTAAGGGTTAGAGTCAGGATTCAGATTTAGGTGCGCCTGACTCCTAATTGAGGGCATGGAGATGACAGAGCTCAGACAGCCGTCCCTACCTCCCTGCTTGGGGTGGGATGAGCTGGGGGTAAGGGCCTGGTCCTGAATGGGGGGGTGGCTAGCGGCTGCCGGCCCAGCCTGTTAGTCTGACCCCCCGGGGGCTCCCATCTTTGATTTAGGCCCTGGCCACTGCTTGCTGGTCTGTCCTGAAAGCCAAGAGGAGGCTGCTGATGGTGAGTGAGCTGACAGGGCCCCTGGGGAGCGCCACGCGGGGGCCTTGGGTGTGGTGCCCAGCTCAGTTGACCCTCCATTTGGTGTGTGCTGGACCCTGGTCTAGGGGCAGGACGTGTGGGCTGGGCAGAGGAATGGGGCTCGTGCAGGGAGGTCTTACTGAGCCCCCAGGCCCTGCTGCACCTTTTGGCCTTTGTCACAGCACCGGCCACCTGTCCTGCCATTACTGCTCCCTTGACCAGGAGGGCCTCAAAGGCACACGTAGATCTGTTTCATCTTCCCACCCAGGGTTCAGCACAGTGCAGGCCACTGTGAAATGTCAAAGGAATCAAAAGCGGGGAAAGGGTGTCTTCAGAGGGAGGAAGGGCACGTGTAGAACAGTGGTGGTTGGCTTGGTGGAGGCGCCTGGGCGGGGCAGGATGCTCCGGGAGCAGGCAGAGCCTCCCTCCCGCCCATCGGGCTGCATTATCTGCTCTCCCAGGCGGGGAATGGCTGCACTATCTGGGCTGCTGTGATCCATTGTTCCCCTCTGCCAGCCCGGCTCTGCTGCCCAGCTGATACCAGCTGCCACTGCCACATGCTCTGGGCACTTCCTGTGCTGAGCGCACCCCAGGCCCCTCGTGCAGTGCTCACCACAGCCCCGAGGTTGCCCCTATTCTGCAGAGGTGAAAACCAGGGCTTCGAAAGCCCCAGTCATGGGAATTCCCTGGCGGTCCAGTGGTTAGGACTCGGCGCTTTCACTGCCGGGGCCTGGGTTCAATCCCTAGTTGGGGAACTAAGATCCTGCGAGCCGCGTGGTGTGGCCAAAAAAACCCAAAAAGCCCCAGTCACCTGCCCGGCATCACCTAATAGCAAGGACAGAAGTGAAGCCCCGGCTCTTAATACGACCCCAGGGCCTGGCTGCCTCACCCTGCCTGGGTCCCAGCCCTCGGCCTTGCCACCCTCCACAGGTGCCTGATGGCTTCATCTCCCATTTCTACTCCGTATCGGAGCACGTTAGCCCCGTCCTAGCCTTCGGCTTCCTCGGACCCAAGCCTCAGCTCTCTGAAGTCTGTGCTTTCTTTAAGGTAAACAGGGAGCTCAGTGTCTGAGAGCTTGTGCTCCTTCCACTGGGAGCCTGACCCGGGTGGGTCCAGAGGAAGCCCCGGGAGGGCAGGAGCTGAGGACAGAAGGGGCTGGGTCAGGGCTCCAGTGGTGAAGGAAGAGGCTTTGCGTGGCGCGGACGACCTCAGTGCGGGGGGAGCAGGGGCCCCGGCCCAGGTCCAACGCCCGCCCTCTCCCCCAGCACCAGATCGTGCAGTACCTGAGGGACATGTTCGACCTGGACAACGTGCGCTACACATCGGTGCCGGCGCTGGCGGACGACATCCTCCAGCTGTCCCGGCGCCGCAGCGAGATCCTGCTCGGCTACCTGGGGGCGCCGGTGGCCAGCAGCATTGGCCTGAACGGTGTGCTGCCCCGAGAGAACGGGCCCTCAGAGGAGCTGCAGTAGTGGTGGGTGTGGACCGGCAGGGGTGGCTGGCTGGTCCTCATTCACGTGGCTGATGGCAGAGAGAAGGCCTTGGGGTTGGCATTGGAGGCCTGGGTGTCTGGCTGTCAGCAGTGGCAGAGCCCAGGCCATGGTGGCCAAGAGTGCTCGCCCCTGACCTCGCCCCCACCCCAACCTCCATCACCTGGGAATCCCCGAGGCCCAGGGGATAAACTTCCCTGGAGCGGCGTGGAGCCCCAAGGGGCCCGCCTCAGCTGTTCGTGGGAAAGCAGAGGCTGGACCAGTGGCCAGGGGGGCCTGAGGGGTTGTGAGGAGAATCAGGACAGGCAGAGATGGGATGCCCCGGGGGAGGGTGCTCAAAACCCCCTGCCACCTGAGGGCTGCTGAGTGGGGCTGGGAGGGTAGAGATGAAAGAGGGGGTGGCCGGGCGCTGCGGTGGAGGAACCTGGGCTGGACAGTCTCAGATCCAGGCATCTGCCTGGCCAGTCCTGACGGCCCGCTGCCACCTGAGAGAATGTACTGCTCCAGAGATGGAGGGTGGGAGCCACAGAGTGTGGCCGGGGGGCACCTTGGTGGGCGGCGGGCCCGGGCCATCCAGAGGCGGGCTTGCTTTCCTTGCACTCACGTCAGGGCGGGGACCAGGCCCTTGAACAAACCCAAGCACTGAACCGGGACAGCATCCTCTGACATACCCTGGCCCTGCCAAAGGCTGTCACTTCTCCCACCTACCTCTGCCACCACCAAAGACGGAGGAGGTGGGGCTGGTCCCCTCGCCCCTGCCCCGCCCTCTGTGAGCCCGGAACTCCCTGGCTGGTGCTCGGGCGCTGAGCTGGAGGCTCTGACCACGGGTCACCAGGAGCGGGGCCCCTGGAGTGAGGGGGCCCAGGGGCCACATCAGGGGAGGTTAGAGGATGTAGGTGGCTGGACCAGCATCAGGACAAGAAACTTGCCCGGCACTTTGCCTTCAACTCGATGACAAATGCTCTCAAGCCGTGTAGCGGTGCAGAGCCCACCTCCCCGCTGGTCCTGCAGAGGAATG